AAAAAAAAAAAAGAAAGAAAGAAAGAAAAGAAAAAATGTGATCACTCAATGGTCACACGCTTTGCAAATGTGGGAGAGAAATTCCTTTATTTACCGCCATATACCTTCAATCCAGACCTTACAATATACTGTTCCAGGGACAAAAATCCCTAGGTGCAATGCAAGGAGAAAAAAAAAATGAAGTTAACTCTTGACTTTTAAGCTTCTATGTGCTCAGGTAGAAATCATAGTGATGGGATGAGCAAGAAGGAAATGGAAACAGGAATTGCTGGACTATAAGATCTTAGAGGGCACAGCCTGGGTGCATGATTTTTCACTGCTCCATTCCAACACCTAAAACACTAACTGGTCCATAAAACGTGCTTAGTAATGGCATCTCGAGTGAAGCCTTTGCTAGAGGCAACAGCAGCAGAAGAAAAGGAACAAAAGACATGGAATAACAACAATACTATTACCTTTAGTTTCTTGGCCTTCCTTCTAAGAAGATAAAAGCTCTTTCACTTCTATTATCTTAGTTGTCCTTCTCAGCAGTTCTGTGCAGAAATAAAGGCAAATGTGATTAATTCCATTTTACAACTGGAGAAGCTCAAGTCAGAAGAGATAGCTAATGACAACAAATTTGACCAGGGTTTCACTGCTGCTCATTAGCTGGGCCAAGATCAGAACCCAGGTCTTGTGACTTTCTGCCTTGTGCTTCACAGAATTGCCTCTCCAGTTTTTTTTGTTTGTTTGCTTTTAGTTTTTGCTATAGGGAGCATGCACTCACCAGAGAGATAAAGAAGGAATGTGAAAAAGCACCCCCAGGAAAGATGGCACTCCACTATCCCTTCTCCTATAGTCTCTTTTTGGGATTTTCAGCACACACACACACACACACACACACACACACATGCCTGGAGTGATTTTCAAGTCAATGAGTATTGGGCATGGTGGTGCCCGCCCTAAGGAAAAAACCTATAGAGGCTAGAGGATTGTGCCATCGAATCCACCTATCTCTCTCTCTCTCTCTCTCTCTCTCTCTCTCTCTCTCTCAAGTCAATGAATATGGTATTCAAACCATGGTCAGCCATGTGGAAGACCAGCACCTTAACCACCATGCCACCTGCTGGGTCCTGGCTCCAGGTTTAAAACAGTTCACAAAAGAAATGTATTAGAAAAGCAAACTCTGGCACTCCAACAGTACCTTAAACAAAATAGCTAATAAGGCTGTTCCCTGTATCAACACCAGACCACTAAATGTAGCCCCAGGGGGGCTCTGCTAACATAATTGGGAGGTCACTCCCTGTTTTTCTGTACATCTTTCAAATGAAGCCCCATCCGCCTTTGGTCTAGGCTTCATGTATGAGCAGGGCTCAGGTGCTGATTGCAGGTGTGGCATCCAACAGGTGCATGGACAGGAGCCAGTGTTCCATATCTTCATACCAAAGGGCCTGAGTCACTCTCCAAAGGCAGAAGGTAGCCCCTCCTCCTACTGCTGACTTAAAAGCCCTGGGAAACTATCTTGACTGAGTGGCCACTGCAAAACTGCATCTAAACTCTGCCTTCCCAAAGACAAGGAAAAAATCAGCTAAACCACAAATCATATAAGCTAGCCATCCTTCCCACTAGCAGAAATCAGTGCAGGAATAGCTTCAGGGACCTATGAATATACAGAATGACCATTCCCTCCAAGTTATGGGAAAAAGAAGACCATGGCACATCCATGTTATGTATTTAGCTACAGAGCATTTACTCCACTGCAAGTGGCCCTGAAACCTCAGGAGCAAGTACTCATCCCCATCCCAAACCCCAAAGATAGAAGACAGCATAAAAAACCAGCAAGGACTCCTACTAGGTTCCCACCACAACCCCTATTCAGGCTGCCCAGGAGAACAGCTTACCCTGGTCACAAAAAGCACCAGATCAGAAAATTCCCCTCAGAAGCCTAACTGGCAGCCTGAGGCACATAAAATGTTCCTGGCGGTAAAGGGGGTCATCAAAATTTTCTTAGCTCTAAAAATTGTTTGCTTTTAAAAAAAAATCCACCTCGTTCAGTCCCCCCTCCATACATGTACACGATGCAAAATGAAACTAATTGTACAAGAAAAAAATCAAATGGTTTATTATGGTTTGTAATATTTCTCCAATTCATATGGAATACTCAGATGAATAAGCTTTGTTTTACAGCCTGTGATCCAGAAGTGAAACTAGCTACTAAAGTCAAAATGTAATCACCATATATAAACACGGTAAAACAAAAACCTGAACTGGAAACCTAAATGTAATAAAGAGGGAAATTAGATTTCTTCAAAATAGGCTGTCTAAATAATTTTTCCCATCTGTGATTTTTATCTTACTTTGCTATCACATGGAAAAAATGTCACTAATTCAATGCAAATCCATGGCTCATGAAAACAACCAAAATGAGTAAGGGATGCACTAATTAGCTTCCTAATGGGGAAGGTTTTAATTGAACTATTCTATAACAACCTTCATCAAAGTTTCCAGGGCAACTTCATAAAAGGATGTCAAACCTGGCCCACATTTTTATTCCCTTAAAAAAAAATTCTCTATACACAGAAACACAGAAAGCTGATTTCTCTTCAATGCTGTTAACACTCAGGCCACTACATTTTCTGATGTCAGCAATCCCCTTCCCACAAATATTCCAAGTATGCACCACCATCATTCTCCTTTCAATTATGTGGTTTCTCTGCTCCTTACTGATTGAGTCCAGGCCTCTTGGATAATGAGAAGCATGTGCAGGGAAAATATGCTCTTAAAAAACACATACATCAGTTTCATCTGCATTATAAAGAGGGGAGCAGATCATTTGTCCATATCGAAGGAATAAAAATGTGAAGTTTGCTTTGGCATATATAAAGAAACAAAGATCGGAAGGCACCAATACCTAAAGTTGGGGGTGTAGTTATTGCAATGTGAGGTGACACTAGTAAGAACAAGAACAACTTCCCACCAAATCCACCCTTTCTAGCTTGGTCACATTTATATTTAATGTTATCTTAATGTTGCTTTGGGGGGTATTTAAGTTCTGACATACACATGGAAATGAGCCACAAATTGTACAGCAAGCATAAATATTCCATCATTAATAAAAACCAGCTGCGTATAAAACACTACAATGGCTGGATTTTAGTTACTGGCTATCATCAGTATGTGTCACAGGCAAATATTACCCAAAACTTTCTCCCTTCAAACATGTGCATGTGCACACACATGGAAATTTGCTTTACCCTTTCTAATCTTTAAGAGGAACTTTCAAGAATTCACTGATCTCTATGGCACATTCCAACTGATGTCTCTTTTTGAAGCAATTTTTCAACAATCTGGCAGGTGCTAGAGTCGTCTTATTTGCATCTCAACTATCACATAGTATGAAAATGTTTAATTATATTTTTCAAAAAGCTGAGGTCAATAACACAAATGTTGGGTCAATCTTAATTATTGTCAGTAAGGCAATGGGCCACCAAAGGGCACTGTATGTTATAGGGGCAAAGCTCATTAAAAGTGAACACCTGCTCAGGACCCTATAATAAGCTGCTTTGCTATCATGCAAACACCTTTCATCCAATGACCTCAAAGCATGTGCCCAATATGAAGCATGCCTAAACACCTCTGTGAAGTATTAATATCCTCGCTTCCCAGAAGGGTAACTAAAGCTTAGAGCAACTAATTCATTTACCCTTGGTCACATGGCAAATGAGAGAGGGGTTGGGCAGAGAAACCCACTTCCTAGTTTCAAGTCATACAGGCTAATGATATTTCATGGAGTTGGGGCAAGAGTGAAAGTGATTTTACAAATGCAAGGCAAGCTATAGAGTTAAAGGGGATTTTTAAGAATTGCCTTAGGAAATATTAGCAAATATATCCATCTGTGTTTTCCCCATAAACGCATATTACAAAGAAGTGTTCCTGACCTTCGCTTGGTACTTTCTGAATACTAAAAGATCTCACTTTTTTTTCTGCTTAGAGAAACTTAATCTAATTTATGATGAGCCACTGGTTTCCAGGAATGACTCCATCAGAAATTGGAGATCACATGTATACTATTCCTTCATTATCAAAGGAAAATTAAAGGACTGTGGAACTGAACTTTCATTACATAGTGAAGGCCTCAGCGAGAAACCCATTATGTGTGGACCATCCTGCTATGTCTACATGTCTTTTATTTCATTATTGAAAATCCTTAGGTTACTTGCCATTTTTTAGTCTAATTTCAACATATTAGTTTCAAGGTATAAAACAAGCATATCAATGCCTTCCTACTTTTCCTTTCTCATTCTGAAAAGTTCATAGTCTACCCAAATTTGTACTCACTTAACAGCATATCATGATGTAGTGGTTTAAGAATCAATGTTGGGACCAGCAGATGGCATAATGGTTACATTGCTGGTCTCCTACATAGTCGAACATGGTTCAAGTTCCAGACCCAGCAGCTTCAAACTCACACTGGGCATATGTGCATGTGTGCCCAAGATCCTGAGAGGAGAATGGAGAAAAAGGGATTGTGGCATGGCAATCCCCCCCTGGAGGGGGAGATATTTCTTGCTATCTGTCTCTCTGGCAAGTGCACATGCTCTATAGCAAAATTCTCTCTTAAAAAGAAAAAAAAAATCAATGTTGGAACCGACTGGTGATGTGGTGGTTAAGGCAGCTATATCCTACATGACCAACTGTGTTGTTCAAGTCCTGGATCTGGCTGCTTAAAAAACACATTGGGCGCACATGCTCGCATGCTCAAAATCCTGAGAGTAGGAGAAATGGAGGAGAATGGAGTGTGGTGTGACCATGCCCTATGGGAGTGCTTTCTCACTTTCTCTCTCTCTCCTTCTCTCTCTGTCTCTCTCCAGCAAGTGCAAGCACTCTATGGCATTTTTTTTAAAAGACTTTTGTCCTGGCAATTGTGAATAATTGTATAATAAACATGGATGTGCAAGTGTTTTTCCAACTTTGTGTT